AACACGTTTATAAACGGTTATTATTATATTTTTGTAGTCAATAATATACCCAGATACAGATACCAACCTGTATAGTTGTAAGACTACGAGGATTAAAATACAACTAAGTAAGTAATTATACCCAGTGGTAAGTCATTAATTGTCTAAAAACTGCACGGCACGGTCTGACTACAAAAAGGGATATTATGGACCATTATTATCATGGTAATTAATGTCAACATCGAATAAACTCAAAATTTCAAGTAACACAACTTTCACAACCTATTTTCAACACACCAGTCATAACAGGATATTGGCGCGTACAACAATAGATAGCGTATTCCGGATTCCGGAGTCCGGTAGTCCGGCGTCACAGATTCCTTCCTTTTGGCAGAGTCTAAAGTCAAAGGTGGAGGGCGTTCGAGCAGGTGGTTGTTTTCTGTAGATATAGACGGATTGTCCGTGATCCTTCTTGTCCTTTGAGAATGATTTTGTTCTTTCTGACTACAACTTATTTCAAAGACTTCGAATGGTCGGTGAAAAGCCGACACTTTTCATTCTGCAATGTTTCAAGATGTTTCGATTTCATTACCTCGTCACGAAGTAACGCCACAAAGGACCAGACGAAACTGGGGCAGCAAGTCTGGACTAAAGCTCCTGAGAGACGTGTATGTAACATTTATTCACTATCTTTTATCCTTGTTGGGTCTTGTTTCACCTACAAGTTGGACCGATGGAAGTTTTGAACAACTCTTTAATTTTGCTCCTTGTGTTTACTCAAGCGTTCCATAAAATATCTATCCAAACGTCCACAAATAACACAGAAAACATGCCTCAGGTGACACGTTCTAACAATTCCGCTATTAGTATCGATAATGACGCATGTGATTTGTGACTTCTCGTCAACTTTGTGCTATTTTTGTTTAAAAAAAACGAATGTTACGTTTCTTCCAATTTTGGTCAAATGACAAATAAGCGTCAAGTCAGATGTACATAATACGTCATTATTGATAAAGTATGAGATTGCCCAAATATTTTATGATTGATTTGATAACCTTAAAGATGTCTTTCAAAGAATATGTGAGAATTACGTACATAGGTTGTTGCTCATGGGAGATGTTAGCCACTAAAATACCTTAAATTTAGGGTTTGGTCAAAACAGTGACAAGATGTCCTTAATTTAGGCTAAATGATAGGAAGAAATCGAATTAGAGAGTAAAAATAAATTACTGAGCATTAAGTTTGATAAACATAGAAGATGATAAAGTTGATTAGATTTGAAGTTGTCTTTTCTTCTTGTTGAACAGCCAAACCAAAGTCAGCTAATTAATTATGCAAAAATGAGTAGATTTTGTCGTTTTTAGGGGGGGTCCCTGTAAATCCCAGGGAATTCAATATTGCGACCTTGTTTTTTGTCGAGGTGAATATCTCACCACACCCATCAATTGTGCCAAGTTTGAGCGAAATCCGTGATTTGAGCATTATCACCTCCTGCCTGGTTCTCTCATGGACACACTCTTAAACATTAAAAGTGGGAAAGTGGTAAGTTAAAGGCTGATAATTGCGAATAGAACTCCGACGTTTCAGCAATGCTGCCTTCATCAGGGGAAATAAGTGAGTTTGTTATAGCGGAAAAGTTTAAAATTTAATGCGTTCATAAAAACAAGTGAGTGTGCGCTCGCGCAAGTCACGTGAAAGAGAAATTCTGATTGACTCCAACCGATGCGAGGGTGCCATAATTATGAATAAAGCGCATCTCCTCGTGTCTTTTGTCTATTACAAGGAAAAGTGCCTATCTGACATTGGAGAACCTGCGGTAAGGAACTATGAACGAGAAAGCTTTAAGCAGCGGTTTGACCGTAACTGCTCTGACCACGTTACCACTACACAAGGGCAGATCAAAATCTCAGGGTTTTTTCATGCCACGAATGGCCTGGAGTCGTTTGCGTAGGAGAGACAGGCCATAGACTTAGCGACCATTTTTGGGAGCACCGGTTGGACGTCATTAAGAAGAAAGTGGCCTTGCCCATTTTGCGGGAATGGCCCACCAGCTGGAGGACATGTAAGTAGCCGTGATTAGAGCTGGTCTACCCGAACAAGACAAAAAAGGACGCGAGGAGATGCGCTTTATTCATAATTTTGGCGCCCTTGCGTCGGGTGGACTCGATCGAGGATTCTCTTCCGAGTGACTTGTGTGCACGCACACTTGCTTGTTTTTGCGCGCGCATTTTCAAATTTTATCTCTCTGGGCATCCAAGTGATGTGTCAAAGTGGCTCCTAGAATGGATGGTAAAGGCCTCAATGAACTCAATGAATCGAGACAAAAATCTTCATATTCCCAGTACGGATAGACAGCACTCTTTGATTTATATGCATTGTACAATATATAAGGGAATCTCTAACTTTTTGGAAAGACATATGGAATCCAAGCTTTCACCGTAGTTTGCACTTTGCCATCGATCAACTTAACTCCGTTTTTTTGCCCCCTATGGTCAGTACTCGACCCAGTACTCCAGACGTG